ATTTGGGTTCTGTAGCAGTGTCTTGCATGTAAGTAAGTAGGTAAGTAATTAGCTTTTTTCTGTCCAAACCGAAACATGGAACGTAGAAAAATTTGCTGTTCTATATCGATCGAGACAAAATTCTCTCCGCATTCATCCTTTCTGGAGACAGAAGCACACTACCCCAAGCGGTAGCAAATGCCAACAGTAACTACCCGATAGCAAGACTCCCAGTCCTTACAAGGAAGCTGCTAGCGATGAATCGTAGAGGGATTGGCTTTCTCTATCAAAAAGCATCAGAAACTTAGAATGCACTGGCGCTGCTGGAAATTAAGTGTATATATATGTTAGTGGTGCCGGTAACGATTTCTTACCCAGTCCGCTTAAGTGCAGCAAAGTGTGAGAAAAATCGCTACCTAAACCTTTTCCGTGACTGAAATCGAGTACTTGAGAAGGCGTAAATCGAGCGCTTCTTTCTTCAAATTATTTCTCCAGCCCAAAATTATTTGCTCAGCAAATTATTTTGAATTCACTCATTATTTGCTTAGCAAATTCAACTCCAGTTATTTGCTGAGCGAGTAAAATTTTGATGCTGAGCAAATAAATTTCGGATCTAATTAATTGTTCGGCAAATGAATTTCGGGTCTAAGTACTTGTCAAGCTAAAAAGTTTTGAATCCAATTCTTTTACTAAGCAATTCCGTACCGCAGAACGTACTCCGTGGTCAAAATGGGATAAATATGCCAAAGATAATCGTCATGTTCAGTAAGACCGGGGAAGTGATGCATAGAAAGCGTCAAGCAGCAGTTCGGTTAATTTGAAAAAAACGGTACAATCCTGGGATTTTGGATGAGAAAATGAAGAAGATGGTGTTGCTGCTGTGGAAGCGCTGGTGTTGTACCAGTACAAAATAGTGTCGGTGAAAATATTGTTGCCAGATTCTCGATACTCATCTTATTAAAGGCACTACTATCAGCCACTTTTTGCATATGCACTAAAATTGCCAACAGCGTTCGTCCGTTCGCCTCATTCAATTCTTTCAACGCTTTCCTGGAATTTTCATCATTGATTTTCACGCATTTGCTGATAGTTGGAAGGGTTCCTGGATCTCTTCACGACCGTATAAACAATCAGACTCTCCATTAAATGAGTGGAGGGTGCACGATAACATCGCGACTATGCGAGAAAGTGAAATCCGATGGGCAGGAATTATTGCTCATCTTACCCACAACTGACGAACATTGCGCACTAGTGATTGCTACGTGAAGGGCTAGTACTCCGGCGGTCCCCAAAGAGGCAGTACATATACATCGAACAAGTGATGGGCACTCTAATTCGACCTCTGCAGTTCGGGTTCGAATGGCCTGGCAAAGCTGCGCCTGACGTGAAAGAGCATCCTAATAACATCACCAACTTGAGAAACCCGTGCTGATTGTCTGGAAGGTCTTGGCATTTTTGGTAGTGGGCATCTATCACAAAATTACAGCTTGAGAAAATCCACGCCTTTTTTGCCCAAATAAACAGTCAAAACACTTGTGTCTTCCATTTCATTTTAGAGATAGAAGCATCCGGAAGTGTTTGGGTGACGAAGCTTTGTGAAGAGGAACCACCGCTATGGAGACTGCTAACGTCCCCACTTTCGAATGCTGTTTAACAAGCAAACTAGATGTAAGATTGACCCCATTATTCCCCCCCCCCCCCCCTTTCTTTTCCCCTCGGAATATGCCAGTACCAAAACAAATTATCCAGCCAAATGGACCTCCGAGTAGCCAAGACAAAAGCCGTTTCCGCAGTTTGATATCTGATATGATACTAGGCCCGCAAACAGCTATTTTAGAGCGAAGAAAAAGCAGGAAAAAAGTAGTACCTGCACATTTTTAGTCGTTCATGAAAAGCACGATTATTGGTGTAAGCAGTAAGTAGGGATCGATATACAGTGAATGGC